ATAGTATTTTTTAATCAATTTATAATTTCTATACTCTTTGGAACAATGATGGGAAAAATATACCATAACTGTTTTTTTTAATATAAGTACCAGTAGACATCTGGATATTATCTAAGGACTCATACTTGGGGAGGACCCATGGGGAGTGGTAGCACAGAGGTTAGAGAGGGTGGGCATGTGATCGGAGGGTCGCCAGTCAACTCCTTGGTTCAACTCCTCGGACTGAAAGTCCCGACAACATCAAAATGTGGATGAAAAAAGTGAAACATCCACCCCTGCCTCCACCCTCATTTGCCCTACTCTGAGCCCATTAGCAAGGCCTTTAACCCCCACAGATGCTCCCCGGGCACCTTGGATGGCAGCCCACTGCTTCACAAGTGTGCTCACATGTGCAATGAGAAAATGCAGATAATTAATTTCTCCATTGGGGATTAATGGAGTACAAAAAAAAAAAATAATAATATATATATATATATATATATATGGTGTTCAATACCCCACAATGGGGTCGAGGCACTTGGTTACGGCGTTCCCCGTAAGCTTTGTTTGCATGGATCTTACATCCTCCCTGTTATGTGTTGGACTGTCTCAAGGGAGTCTTTGCACAGCCTGCATCTTGGGTCTTGTCTGGTATGGTAGACCTCAGCCTCTATTGCTCTTGTGCTGAGGGTCTGTTCTTGTACTGCCATGATTAGTGCCTCTGTGCTGTCCTTCAGTCCAGTCCTCTCTAGCCACTGGTAGGATTTGTTGATATCAGCCACTTCCTCAATCTGTCAGTGGAACATGCTGTGCAGGAGCTTATCTTTCCATGATGGCTCCTCTTGATCATTCTCTTCCACATAAGGCTTCTGCTGGTTGACATTCACATAGCAGTTCATCACTGGGAGTTTTCTTCCTGATTTACTCCAGGATCTTAGTTGCTTCATCCTGTATAGTGGCTCTGATGCTCACTACTCCTCTGACTCCTTCCTTTCTCTACTGGACTTGGGGTGAAACTCTCCATGCATTGTTAGGAGTTTCTTGTCTTGATGTCAGTGGCTTCTGTCTCCTCCTGTGACCAGGCTATTATACTAGCAGGGTATCTGATAATCATTCAGGATGATGGCTTGGACTTACTTTTTGTAGGACATGAGAGTTGGCATGGTCATATTGCCAAATGACATAATGCTATTATGGATAGAAAAAAAAAAAAAAACACTTGATAGGTACGCTATTTCTCAAAAACACACAAAAATAAAAATAATAATTTAACTTGTTTCTTTTTTTCTACTTTGGCGTTTACAGAGTCTATTTGTTTCTGAACATACTCAGGCTTTTACTGCAGGTGAAAGAAGTAAAAACTGTGATTGCTGCTAAAATATTAAAACTTGTTAGAAGTGTTGTAAAAACACACAAATTAATTTACTGTGTTGTTTTGTTGGTGACTACAAAGGGTGTAATATAGCACTGCAATGTCTTTAAGTTCTGAAGCATTTTTTTTACAATTTGCTGCCCTTTTTTTTTCTTTTTTTTTTACCCTTGAATTGTGTTGATGTAGACATTTTTATTTGCATTAGGGGGCTTATAATTTTTGACAACATAATTTGGTTTACTTTGTTGGCCTAGCAACAGTCTTCATGGGACCATAATCATTTTTTTTAATCTGTGGTCAAGTAATAAGTTTGTGTTTGATGATCCTGTAAACAAACAGTCAAGTAAAGAAAAAGACGAATCTTACACTGAATGTGTCAGTGAAAGCTACATTTATTAAAGCACTCCAAGGAAGCAAGGTCATAGCATCATTTAAAAATAGAACTTGACGATCCTTTCTGCACAGCTGAACAAAACAATGTTCGGAATATTCTCCTAAAAAAATGGATCGGTCAAAGCCATTCATGTAGCAAAAAATTCCTTCAATTGTTGGAAATTTAAACAAAAATCTACATTTTTAGCGCGCTTCTATGGTGTGATTTAGAGCCCAAGTTTACAAACTCAAGAGTATAAGGCGGAGAGTTCCTTCTATTTCATCTTTGAATGGTGTTCCTATTGAGTTTGACGATTCCTACAAATACTTGGGTTGATTCGCATCTCTCTTTTAAGCCTCATGTTGAAAACTTGGTAAAGAAACTGAAAGTTAAATTGGGTTTGTTTTTCAGAAATAGATCCTGTTTAACTCTGAATGCTAGAAAACACCCTGCAGCTGTGACTTTCCTTCTCTCCATTGACTACAGTGACATTATTTACATGAACGCTCCTACAAGCTGCAGATGTTGGATGCTGTCTATCATGGTGCACTAAGATTCATAACTGGCTGTAACTACCGTACCCACCATTGCACCCTGTATTCACTGGTTAACTGGACATCATTAACTTCACGTAGACTCTCTCACTGGTACATTTTCATCTTTGAATCACTTCTTGGTCTGTTGCCTTCATACATCTCCTCCTACATGTCTGTGTGAGTGCAGCTACAGCGTGCGCTCTCAGGACATTATTACCTGCAGTGTTCCCTCAGTGAGGACCGAACTTGGCAAAAGGGTCTTCTCTTACTCCGCTTCCGTTTCCTGGAATATCTTGTAAAACGATCTGAAGTTGATGACTTTGACCTCTCTAGGGGATTTTAAACAACTGTTAACTTCAATGCAAAAATCAACGCAGACATGTTCCTGTTTTTAATATTTTACAATTGCTTTATAATGTACGGTAGCTATTTCTGATTTGTTTTTATATTATTTCTTTTGTTTACTTTTCATTTTATTTGCTTTTATTTGATTGTCTATTGTTGTCTGTACCTCATCTGTGTTCTTTGTTTAAAACAGGTCTCTCGTGTAAATGAGTCCTCGAGGCTCAGTGAGACTAACCTGTTTAATAAAGGTTGAATGGAAGAAAAGTCCCACCTCCTCCCCTCCGGAGACAAAACAGTGGGGGTTTTAGGCAGCCTACAGAGGGGCACTTGGCCTCTTTGAGCTTAAATAATTGTCAAGAATCAAATTATTTAGGGATGCACGATATTATCGGCATGGTATCGGTATCAGCCAATAGTAGCGATAAAGTTAAATATCGGACATTCCATCAAAATAACTCACCGATATAAAAGGCTTTTGGTTAAAGCTCATTTTTAATTCAAGAAACCGTCAAGTTTATCTATTAATGCACTACTACTTATGCGCTTTTCACTTGTCGCTTGTGAACAGATTGAGATTAGATTTGTGAAAATGTACAAATTGTTCTAGTGTCAGTGTGTTAGAAAGAGTAAATGTCATGAATGAATTTGACATTAAACATAATCCAAGTTGAAGTGTTGCATCATTTTCAGCCCCCTTGTTGGCATCTGCATTTGGTAGCAGGTCAAATAATGATCATGCAGAATAATGTAGTATTTTAATTCCACAGCAGAGAAAGCTGTGTAGTCTCTGTAAGAAGGTCTATGGGAAAACTATTGGTATCAGTTATCAGCCAAATAAGTTTTAAGATATTGGCGTATCGGATATCGACCAAAAATCCAATATCGTGCATCCCTAAAAATATTAATATTTTTGTGGTGTAGACCTAATGGGAAAGTTTGTCTTTTAAATTTGAGTTTCTTGGAATGACAATAAGCTACTTTGAGTGGGACCAAAACCTAAATAAGTGGATTGCTGCCATATTAAAGTCCCATGGAATCTCAACTCACCTAAAAACTTAAGAGGTTCATGCACTTTTTCTGTCCTTTTCCCAGCCCAACATTAAACGATAACCCTCCAAGTCTGCGTGAAGCTGGGGGGTGGTGTCTGAATTTTCATGTAGGAGCTGTGTGTGAAGTGCGATGTCTTTACTTCACCAAAAAAGAACATGTAAGAACTCTGCTGCAATCTTAGAAAACACCACCAGCCTTTGCGTGAGGTGTGGCATCACACAACAGCCTGGCTGCATCTGCTGTGTGAGCGTACACATATTTACACACACACACACACACACACCTTTTCCTATTTTCAACTCATGTGGGAGAAACATGTTGGCCTCATTCTTTCAAACAGAGCCTTGTATTATTAAGACTGTTTTTTTTTTTGTTTTGGTGGGGTGGGATTAAAACTAAAAAACTGAAATATAGATCTTCATGCTTTCATTTTCTAGACAGAATGGATCAGCTACTGGCAGGAATGTCACAACAGACACTAAAACGCAGCCATCGGGCATGATTCGGCTGATCTGACCATACGCCGGGGATCATCTAAAGTAATTAGGTGTATCATTACACTAAAGTCTTTAAGCTCATTTTAATACGCTCACCCTTTGAACTCCTTTTGACTGATAGGAACACATCCACTGGCACCTAGTGACCGATGAGGCCACTTTTGCTGCTCGTCGCACGCAGAAACTCACAAATTGGGGTATTCATGACGCTGCACATTGGAGCTCTCAGTGGGTTATATGACATCATGCAATGTCAGCTGGAGAGCACGCACAGAGCGGCAGCAATAGGACAGTCGTCTCCTGTATCAATGAGCACTGATGACATCATACATCTGGATTATCAGCCGCCGACACATCAGGCAATCTTTTTTTCCCCCCTTGTGCTGAGATTAAACCACAGGTTTCTGCAGAAGCGAGCTCACCCTGGCGTGAGCTTTTGAAGCTCTCTGCAGAGCCTCTCTGTTGCACTGAATCCTGGGTATTCCCAGCTGGGTAGATTTTGCAGCAGTTGTAGCATCTGCCACATTACAGATCGTCTATTTACCACGTGGACTGTCTTTGGATCTTTCTTGTCCTGTCAGTGGTATAATTGTTAAACATGGAGGGATTACAGCTAGAAACGTAACATACGTTTTAAGCTTGGACAGCTGGGTGAAGGGACTGTAGTTGTAGGTTTGAGTTAGTTCAGAAAATAGAAAATAAAGCATGTTGATTGATTTTTTTAGTTTTTAAACCATCGCAGGCCTATAGGCCCATACTGGAACTAACAGAGCCCCACTCCATTAAGGTAATTAATCTGTGCGAATAATAATCTCAAACACATTGCTTTGGAACATCACTGCACCAACCTTTTTACTCTTATGATCTGGTCCCTCATGGGCTTGATGTCCTGGAAGCTCTGCTGGTTCACCAGGCTGTAGACCAGGATGAACCCTTGGCCGTTTTTGATGTACAGGTCCCGCATGGAGGCGAACTGCTCGGTGCCGGCGGTGTCCAGGATCTCCAGGACCGAGGGCGACGAGTCCACCTCGATCTCCTTGCGGTAGAAGTCCTCTATGGTGGGGTCGTACTTCTCGATGAACGTCCCGGTGACGAACTGCACGGTGAGGGCTGATTTCCCGACCCCACCGCTGCCCAGGACCACCACTTTATACTCGCGCATCGTGGCTTCAGTCGCTCGGTTATCTATCAATCTGCGCGCGGCATTGACACGAGCTCTCGCGCTCACCATTCACGTCCCATTTTTGTCAATAACACACCGTCTCCTCGCGCCGTGGCTCAACTATGGCAGAGCACAAAGACTCGGCGCCCCGAGATGGGTTTCATTGTAGAAACTCCCCATTATTGCAGACGGGAGACGAGCAGCAGCTGCACGAGCCGAGGACTGCAGTTGTCCAAAGAATGTGCGCGAGGAGGAAGGAAAATATCGCCCTTTGATGTGGACCGCGCGGCTTTTCATCTGCTTACTAAACTTGCTCCATCGAGGACGCTGAAAAAAATAAAAAGCTGACGCTATAAACTACAAGCGCGATTTTTTTTCCCAAGCTGCTCTTAAAAAAACCCCACAAAACAGCTAAAACTAAAAGCTACAGCGGCACCGAATTAAAGAAATCTTTGTTTTCTTTTTCACCATCTTGTCTGGCGTGTCACCGCTTCATGCCGCGCTCTCCTGTGCGACTCCCGCCGCCATACTCTCGGGTGGAGACCAGCGGCCGCTGCGTAATCAGCCGGGTCCCCGCTCGGCTTCCGTAGAAAAATAAAAATGTCACACCCCACCTCCTCCTCTAATCAGACGGACGTGAGAACAACCCAATGGCTGCCTCCGGGGCGCGCGCAGCTAGCTCGCAGCTGAATGGGAGCCTCGCGGAGGCAGCCAGTGAAATTCAGCGGCGACATTTCCGTTCATGTGTTCAGATTCCCGTCGTTCGGTTGCCCAAGTGACACGCACAGAGGGCTCACCCAATCACGGAGGCCGCTCCAAGGATGTGTATCCAAGACGAGGGACCCACCACCGGATGCTGTTGCTATGGCAACACGGCATTTTGTTGTCATTGGTTGAAATTTGAGCAGCATGCTGTATGGGAGCTGCTAAACCTTATCAACACAAGGTATTTGGAACAACTGATAACGATACAAGAAGCACGTTATTGAACCTCCATTAAAAGTCGCCATTTGAACTAAAATCAACCCAGTTCGCCAACTACGAATAAAATGTATCATTTAGATTACTGTGTTTTCAGTATAGCCATTTTATCATTTTCAAATCTTTTAAAGTCTATTCTGTGTTGGTTATGAGCAGTAAATATCTTACCTGTTGTAGATAACTCTGAACAGCGTATGGAGAGTTGATTTCTACAGCTAATCTGAGCAGGGCCAAAGCCAAAGTGGATTGCTGCTGTCTTAAAGCAACTTCAGTATCAAACATTTTAAAGTGGTTTCTGTTTTATATACTATTATTTAATGCTTACAACCACCATCAATTTTGCATTTAAAATGTATTTACATAACTGGAACCCATGGGACTTTCTGTTGCAATATCTTATAACTGTCAGAATATATTTGTGTAATGTAAAATTGAAAGTCATGTAGAGGTTTTTATAAGAACATTTGTCCAAACTGTAATGAAGAAATTAAAGTTATTTTAAGACAACATAAATCCACCATTTTCTTGGCCCCCCTGTTAATAGCATTATCTTGTCTCTATTTTTCCAATCTGAGGTTAACTAAAGAGCTACCTGCAACAGATAAGATATTAATTGTTCATAACCTTTATATACATTTTCACTCCAAATGATCTGAACTTTCCATTTAAAGATAAAGAAGCTTTGACCACCATGATCTAAATAAAAATCATTGATCATATAAAATAATAACAGATTTGACAGCCTTGCAGTTACATGACATTTATTTATTTATTTTCAGTATATCATATTCTACACAATTCAGAATTTACAAGAACAAAACTGCTCACATGAAATGTTAATTCTGCACAAATATAGTTAAATTTTAGAGAAATTCACACCAGGCTGGAACCTAATGGCATCAACATGGCTGCTTCGAGAGATGGCTAACTTTTTAACAATGACCATCTGAACAATCTCATCAACAGAACAGCCTTTTGTTTAGGATTGTAATACAATCATGTGTTCAAACCTAAAACTTTAATTACTACTTAAGAAGAATTTAAAAAATAAGGAAAGTATTGAAATGAACAATGTGAAATTCACTCAGGATAAATACAAACTCAGGTCTCGATCGAAGATAAGGCAGAGTTCACAAAAAAAAGTCTTCTTAGTCATCTGTTATGAAAAGTGCTGAAGAGAAAGTGAGTTAGAGCAAACAACCTCATTTCATTTTATTTTTTTTAAATGAAAGAATAACTTTTCCCCCATCACTAACACAAACATTCATGCGCAGTTAAAACTAATATAGAAAGGTCACTCAGCAGGTTTCCTGCTGAATATTAAAGCAATCACACTTTACATTTAAAACAGCTGCTAAACTATAAACTGCTAATCTTAACTGACTTGAAATAACTTTTACCACATATTAAATATAACATACTGTATATATTAGTTGCAACTTTTGCATTCAAATAATCCGTCGTTGATTGAGCCATTCAGTTGTCCGTGACAGCAGAAAGCTAAGTTGTGTTTTCAAGACACAAAAAGTATCTTGCAAAAAGGAGTTGATTTAAAAATAGCTAATTGCAAACAGCCGAACTTTTTCTTTTTGGCATAAGTTATAATCCAAATAGACTTTGCCCTGCTATCGTTAAACATCATAAGAAAATCAGGACACTTTGCCTCTTCTTGAGCTTAGAGGAAGCCTACAGATTAAATGATGGACATTACAGTAAACTGTGCAACAGTTGTGGAAAGATAAATTCATAACTGGAAAAAAAAAAAAGCAGCTGCAACTTCAGATATTATCAACCGAAAATGTCTGACGTATGTAGCTCAGTATTTTGTTGCATTCTTGTGAACATCCATCTAACCTAACTCGCCTCACCCCCTTCTTGTAAAGCACTTTGTAACATTCTTAACTGGTGTTTTACAAATAATAATTATAATTATTAAATGATAAACTGTTTCAGCGTTACATTTTTGTACATTCTGCACTGGCTGCTTTATTGTCTTGCCCATGCAAATGTTCATTGTTCCTTAAAGGAGTAACAAAGCAAGGATGAAATGTTTGCAGGTTTTATTTTAAACATCTAATCCCAGGACTAAAACAAAAAACTGCTTTTTTAAGCTAATATAACAAGGTCAAGGTCTTTGAAAGAACTCATCCAATCTAAAAAGTCAGTTTAATAAATTACATTTATCATAAAATGTAAGAGAATACATTTTAAGTGTCGTTAACTCGTACAATATGCACTCGTATATGTATCTACTCAAGAAGTGAAAAAGGAAACCACAAGAAAAAGTAAACAAATGTTAAAATTCTACATTTTTGTCCACACCATTTGCAAAATATGGAACTGAAATTTAAAACAAAACATGTAAAAAAGCAAAGAAACTTGTTTTTGTCTGCTGTTCAGTTAAAACAAATATTAAGATCTTGTCATGTGAAAAATGCAAAACTGAATTTCACTGAAATGTTTACCTTAAATTGTACAATAAAAGTTTCAAACTTATTTTTAATTGGCTTAATCATTTGATACGTAAAACAAAAAAAACACAGTATATAACTAAAATATATAAACACACATTATAATAGGTGAGAATTTAACTTTAAGACTAAATCTCTTCAGGTACATTACTAACGCACTGACATGGACATTGATCTTTTGACGTCTGCGAAGAGTTGGGTGATTTTTCACACAAACCCTATTAAAGATGCTTTGATGTATTTGCATGTACTATTCCTTAGGCACTTGGAACATTCAGAATATACAGTACTGACAACCGACTGCGACAAGAAGCTCACACGACACGCAACCCGTACACAATCACAACTTTAAGTTAACGATCACGTCTGTCGCAACTCTTCCTATAAACGTCCGATTTTATATTAGCTTGTTCAAACAACTTACAGTCTTATTAATAAATCTAGTATTATTATAATCCACATGGAGCAATCTGAAAGAAAGAAAAATATCTACATCAAATGGATTAAACAGCGTTTTCTTTCTGTACTCGCAATGCAAAGGCACACCAAGAGGTGAAGCACGGATCCAGTTCTCTGGGGACCTCTCTGAGCGTTTTAAAGGGATGTTCATAAAACCAGCTTTTAAATACATTACCATAAAGTGTAAAGTTAAAATAAGTGCTATTCACTGGTTTGTTGAAGATATTTAAATCTGGTAATAGGAAAATGCTCAACAGAACACATTCAAGAAGGAACACGAATGTTCGATAAAGCAATACAACTACAACAATCTCAAATGTAGGACTTTTTACACCCGACTTTACCCTTTCTCTGTCAACACGCTGAAGGATGACTTCAGACTGGATCCTTTCGTCTGTAATTATTTACATCCTTTAAATGGCAAAAGCACAATTTATATTTCCAGTTTATTACATATGAAGTTGTTGCCACTGGGTTTGAATTGCTGTCTGTGTTTCGTTCAGAAAAGCAAAGAACAGACACAAAAGCTTCATCCCTGACGTCATTACATCCGACTGAGGCCAATAGTATTGATGCAGGTTATTACAGGTGCAAAGGTGTGTACACACAATTCAACAACCTCCTCGACACAACCCAGTCCCCGTGGTTGAGCCACTGAATGGAACCGATCGTCTTTTCAGCAGTGATGTTCTCAGCATGCAGCTTGCTGTACGCTGCGTGTGTTGATGGCAGAATATTTACAGACAGGCTGTTCAGGACCTTTGACAGCAGCGACACAACACCGACTTCTGTTTCTCATGGTTACTTGAGGATGATCTGTTTGAAAACACAAGTCACTGAAAGGTTTCACACAACAAGCTTGAAGCAGTGAGGTTTAAAGCAACACGATATATATATATGCACCCTTGGAAAATAAATGGCAATAAAGAAATTGTTCAGTTAAACTCAAATAATTGCTTTGCCTGTCTGACTTTCAACTGGTTGTCAGAAAACTGGTTAAAATGGGAACATAACTTTAAAAAAGTGACTGAAATTTTAGAACATTTAAACAATTTTTAGGGGGAGTGGTGGCGCAGAGGTTAGAGAGGTGGGCTTGTGATCCAAAGATCGCCGGTTCACGCCCCGGCCCCGACAACATCAAAATTGTGGGTGGGGTAGGTGAAACACCCACACTTGCCCCCACCCTCATTCGCCCCACTCTGGGCCCATGAGCAAGGCCCTTAACCCCCACCATGTGCTCCCTAAACAGGTCTCTCTTGAAAATGAGTTCTCGTGGCTCAATGAGACTAACCTGTATAAATAAAGGCTAAATGAAAAAAAAAAAATAATAATTTAGGCTTTAAATTATAGCAATAGAGCTGCAATTTCTAGCCCGGGCCCGACCCGGCCTGAATATTGGATCAAAATTATTTACTTGATGGGCGTGCTGGGTCGATCTCTGGCTTTTGATGCGGTTTTACGAATCGTATGGAACAAAGAAAACTAAATAAGAATGCACAATATAAAACTGTGTTCATCTACTTGAGGAGGAGGCAGGTCCGACTGGACGTTGAAAGAGGTAATGAAGAATGTCTTAAGCTTTCAGATGGACAACGGGATCATCAGCCGCACGTGTCCGCTGACTGGCCAGTTGAACGAGGTAAAACAAAAGTCCAGTTAAGCTTCAGATGGATCACCTGATCACCGGCCGCGCACATCTCCGCACCTGCTATCATCCGCGCTGAAGGAAGTTTCAACATCTGAACTACAAAAGCTGAAGCGTGCAGCGCGTTCAATTATAATAGTCTTGTTCTAAATTTTTTTCAAATAATTTTGCTCTAAAATATTTTTGTTCATCTGTGTAACAGCTTATTTTTACAGTTAATTTTTTTTAGGCTATTCCTTTTGTATGTTAATATCCCTGAGGTGCAACAAGAAATCTTAGGTATCCCATGTTGCAGTGCGACACTTTATTCACTTATTGTGATTTTAAACTAAGGGCCAATGAATTGGGGAACTACGGGTAGGAGCAACGACAAGAAAGGAAATGTGGCTTTAGTCTTTCTGAGTAAAATACAGATACTGCTTTACAAGTTTGAGGCAAATCACAATAAATCTTTGGTCAGTTACTAAAATGTGATATATTACATAGAATTAAATATTTTCATTGTAAATGCACGTTAACCCTAATAAAACTACATAGATAACTGTTTTGGTTGTAACTCTGCACATTTTAACAAACATGTTTTTATGCATAAACCGTTTAGTTTTTTGTTTTTTTTTAAACATCCCACTTCTGTTAAAACTTTGAGGTAATTGTCTGCTAAGAGATATTTTTTTTTATCTAAAACTGGATTTACCACTAAACACAATGAGGCTTACACATATTGAGTCTCATGTTTATGACTACACATTTAACCATTTAACCATTTTTACAAGCTAAAAAATGCTATTGTATTATCTGTAGCCTTCACTCAGAACAAATGTTTAAGGGGCAGCAGTTAGATGAAATACGGACAATAAAAGACTCGTAGTAATACACACATAAATATTTACTGCGGGGTGAGGCCCTATACTAACATTCAGACTGAAAAAAGAAAAGACATTGAACAAAGCATAAAACGTGCAATAAAAAAAAGGCAACACCATTATCTGTAGGTGGAAGAATCCTAAATATGTGTTTTCAGTGGTAAAAGAAAGCAGTTAAATGCAGCTGAGCTGAAGGTCTACAGGTATGAAGCTTTATGACTGTAAAGCAAGCGAAGCACCTCTACGCTGGTGGAGAAACTCCCCTGGTTTAAAGATGAAGCACTTATCAAGAGCTCAAGGATTTATGACAGAAAGCTTTAAAAAGAAGCAAACCTGATTGGCTGGTGTTGTTGCTGCGTAGGGGACACTTGTGGCAGGAGTAGTTGCTGCAGAAACAGTAGCAGGCGTAGCACTGTACATCATGGGGACTTTTTCAGGAGGGGAAACCATGAAAGCAATGAAAAGGGAGGTGGAGCATTATGGTAACCATAGCAATGTTTCTCTTCTCTTGCCAGGCAAATATAAAAATGACAGTAGCAGCAAACCATCATTGGGTTAGACCAGCAGATGGCATGTGATCACACGGCAAAGCAAGACAGCAGGGGGAGAACATAAAAGGAGGGCTGATAAGAAATAAATTAGGAAGTCTGGTCATAAGCTGACATCCCACAAGAGTGCGATTAAATGATTTTTAATATGCTAAACGTCTTGGAGTTTGAAATCTTGGGGATGCTGACCAAATTTCCTAACCTTTCCCAATGGTGCACGGCAAATCTACAAACAGAATTCATCCAAGTGATGAAGTTTCTATGGTAACTATTTGAAAGATTAGAGGAAATTAAATACCAAAGAGCTTCATGAATGGAAAAGCATACAAATGCGCCACAAGTTAGAATAAAAATAATAATTTTTTGAAAAAAAAAAAAAGGTTCTAGCACAAAGTAAACTTATCTTTGTGATCATCTTAAAATATTTTAATGCAGCGTCCTTTTTTTAAAGTGGTGTTTTCTGGTGCTGGAATGAGTAGAAACTTGTTGGAATGTAGCTGTGTGTTTTCTGTTAGACACAAGAAAATCTAAAGAACATAAGGGAGGAACCTACCAACGCTGTTAGCAGGAGTCATGCACAAGACAGAACCTGTGAGATTATGAAATATAAAGAGAAAAGGTGTGTAAGCACGGTCAAGACATTGACACAGTTCAGTTTGGTTAATGCCAGCATGAGTCAATATAAATCAACCTTTAGTTAAGCTAACAAAACAGACATAACTTGTAAAAACAAACAAAAATAATAATCGTTTAAGTCATATATTGGGACATAACCAAGAGCATCAGGTTTCTGCAAGGTCGTAAAACTAGATAAACATTTATTTAACATTTGAGTGGTGCAGTTGTGTGAAAAACTAAACACTCCTTGGTTAAATGGTTAGCAAAACCCTAAAAAGCAAGAATAACTTGGCTTAATTGTTCTCATCAGTATCTCCTGTCACTGTGGAGGAACTTTGGTTCGATTGTTTACCTCGTCGCTCCAGCTTGTTGACGTTTGCAGGCATTTGCTCGAGCACGGACATTTTAAAGTCCAGTGCAACTGCACGTTATTTTTGTTTTTCAGCGATTCCTTCACAGATTTGACAGAATATGTTTGGGATCATTTTTTTCTGTTGCACGACCCAGTTTTAGTCTGCGTTTTTATTATTCCAGACGTCTTTGAGTGGGTTCAGATGTGACTTGCTGTGCGGCCACATTCTTTTCAGAGAGAAGAGGCGTCCTAGCAGCCCCTCCATAAAAAGAGTACGTGTTCGGTCTTTCTCTAGTTGTACGGTTACGAGACATATAGAGTCTAACGTGTCTCTTGAGTTTGCTGAAGTTTCTCTGAATGCTGCACAGTTTGACCTCGGGATGGATTTCCTACTCCTGGGAAGACCGCCAGCTGTCATCAGTGTTTACCTCCTTCCACAGACTGAGAGGCAGCAATTATTGCTTCTCTAACATTATCACTGATGTCTTTTCTTCTCGGCTTTGTGTTAACACATACGTGAATTATCCTAAACAGATACTTTTCTGGATTTATGCCTTTAGGAGTCTACACCTACTGATGCTCAGATAATCAAGTAGCAGCACCTGGTGCTTCTTTTCCTTTTAATTCCCTTGGAGGGCGTAAAGGTGTTCTTATTTATTCACACTGCGTCTGCGTTATGACATTGTATTGGTTAAATAATGACACCATGTATGTCATATCTTGCTGATCATTTGAGGTTATAATTACAACAGCTTTAATATTTGGTAAAGGCTTTGACTTTTACCAATTACTTTAATATCATTTAGGGGTAATACAGTTGGATTACTTGTATGACAACTAGAAAAAGATCAGAAAACTTGCTCCATGTGCATTTTGAGGTTGCACATTTGAAGAGGTTTTCTTTTTTTGTCAGGTCAGTGGATATGAAACCACCTAACTTGTCTCAGTTCTGCTGTGCGTGTGTCTCAGGTATAAGATCAACCAGCTGTTTCTGTCTTCAGACAGCAACCGTGGAAGACATTTGTGAACGTGATAGAACAAACGAAGCATATACTATTGAAAAAAAAAACCCCTCTTGTTTAGGTTCTCTTGGCCACAACAGTAGATTTTATTGGTTTTATTAATTTTTCTAAATGTAGTTTTTGGTTAGTAACAGCTTCCCTGTTCATTACAGCCTTGGCTACACCCACTGATGTTGCAAAGCCCAGTTTATTCACTCCAAGCCTATTAATGGAGACACACTTATTGTCTATGAAATACCTTCTGGCACTTCATAGATGACGACCTAGTATTTATACAACTAGTGACACATGCATGTCCTGATAGTCGTGCAGTTAATGAGCAGAATACAATGAACACGTATGAAATTGATCATGAAAATATGGGTTAATGTTTAGAGGATCACCTGTGGGATAAAAGCCTGCAGCGGCCTGCTGAAATTGTGTATTAGCCAAAGCCTGTTGGTAGTGCAATAAATTGGGGGTGAGGAGAGAGCTGGTCCAGCTGCTCTTCTCAAGCGCCACTCTCTTTGGTAGGGGTTGCAGGATGCTGTGTGGAAAGCCCTAAAAAGGACAGAAAAAAAAACTATGTAAATTTAACATCCTTTTGTTTATGCCTTTTATATAATGACTAAACAATAAAAGTGACTATTGGGACAAAATGGACAAAACAAAAGTGGTAGAATATAGTTGAAGTAACATATTAATCAAAATGAAGAATATTTCACATTTTAAGCAATAAAGCTTTTTGATGGAGATGGTGCACACAAAAACTATATGACTTGAAGAGAATTAAAAAAAAGTTATTGTACAAATAATAGCTACATGCAAAGCAAAAGGTGGAAGTACCAGGTCTACAGTCGCCTCGAGGGGTCGCTTCATTGCTTTGGAAGTCGATTGAGTCTTTAAATAGCAGGCAGCGAGCACATGATGGCAGTGGGCCAATGGGATTCAAGCGCATTAACATACAGGTAACAGCAAGAAGAGGTGCACCATGGAGGACAGCATTGTGGATAGGTGACAAGGGGGGGAAACAAAAAACAAAATAATCTGAATGTAGTATACCACATAAAACATAATATACATGCACAGTAATAAAAATGCATTCAAGGGCACATTTAATGATTGTAAGTCAAAATTAGTCAATCGGTAAATACAGAAAATACAAATTTATAGCAATGATATGCAACATATACCTGTAATGTACATTGAGCACCAAATAACTAGAAATCACTGTTAATATAATCAAAACACTGCTAAATCAGTGCAGCTGCACTCACATCATTTTAGATTAGGAACACATATTATGGCTTCCAGAGAGGAATATCAATGGATTACACAGCAAGCGCAGAAAATGTTGAAATGAAAGATGATTTGGTTTTATGAGAGCCAGCCCAAAGCAGTGTCACACACCAACAGATGAACATGCATCCTATCTCATCAAGCACACAATACAGAGCTACGTTTGGCTGGTTCTTCATTTTGTATGGTATATAAAAATGTAATTGTGTTTGTACATTTAAAATAAAACCTAAACTTCTTGCAACAACAAAAAAAATAATACAGTGTAAGTAACTAGTGAAGGTATTAAAACACAAATTGTTTCTTTAACTAATTCTTTAATGATTGTCAAAACTTCTTACACCTAACATTCTTAACACCTAACATGGGGGAGTGGTGGGGCAGAGGTTAGAGAAGGTGGGCCTATGATCGGAAGATCGCCGGTTCAAGCCCCGGTACCGACAACATAAAAAAAAATAAAAAATGTGGGTGGGGTAGGTGAAGCACCCACACCTGCCCCCACCTTCATTCGCCCCACTCTGGGCCCATGAGCAAGGCCCTTAACCCCCATCTGCTCCCTAAACAGGTCTCTCTTGAAAATGAGTTCTCGTGGCTCAGTGAGACTACCTGTATAAATAAAGGCTAAATGAAAAAAAAAAATGAACATTGATGTAAACCATTCCTTCAACCCAAAATTTACTGATACGTGTTGACGGAAAATACCAAATAAAACTTGACAGGAAAATAGAAAACCTATTAGTTTATGTGACTGACTGTGCAATAGTCAATTAGACAAATAAAAAGTCAATTTTTACTATAAAAACTACAAACAAAGTTGCTTATGTGCTTAAGAACATGTTCAAATGTTTGTTAGCTACGTATTTATTAAAGCCTTTTGCAGTTTAAAAAAATGCTCCAGGTGGTCTGTAACGGTCATCTGGGGAGAAACAGGCACTCCTTAACATCTTGTCATGAGGTGATTTTCAAAAAGAGATTTAACAGAACTATAAAGAGGTGATGAGGTGCAATTGGTTACAAAATGCCAAAGCTTCAATACTTGAGTGTGTAGGTATGGAGAACTTGTTTCAGGGCCAGAAAGCTCTATAACTGAACTGCAACGAGATTTTAACAACTGTTGAAGAACAAGGTGGTCTGAAGATATCCCAAGTCAAGAAGTGTAACAGTGGCTGCTGTAAACCCTTTTAGAATGAGACGAAGTCTTACCATGGCTGCAGCTGTGGCCTGGGCTGCCATTGCTGCCTGACTGACTTGTTGTTGACCGGATTTGATTTTGGCCTGCAAGTGTGCAGGCGGGTGAAAGTACTTGCACTTCTCCCTGGAGCACCGGCTCTTGATGTAGTCCATGCAGACAGTGACTGTGTTATCAGTGCTGTCAATCATCGGGCTGTCACTGGGGTGAGCAAAGCGGCAATCCGTCTCCCCTCGTGCACAGTTTCCCCGCTGAAACTCACGACACACCTGAAACAGGAGCAGTTATGACGACCGTGAGAGCAGTTTAGCTTTAAGCCTGGAGACAGCTCATGTCAAGTCACAAAATTATAAACGCTTCTCTTTGCGTGTTTTGATCTATGAATACCTCCAATTTGTCTGGACGCTGTAGCTTCTGTGATGGAGAAGAGGACGATGAAGAAGAGGAGGAGGATGAGCACTGAACCGTGACAGCTGGACTGCCAGGAACAAGAACCGGGGTGCTGGAGAGGATGTCTGAGGGAATGAGGCTCATTCCATGGCTCAGTGGTGTGAGGTATGAACCATAACCAAGGTTAGCATTAGCGCAGAGGCCCTGCGTAACAGGAAATGTTGACTATGAAGAGAGAGGGCACAGATTACACTTGAGTCGAGTATTGTCGCGTACAGTACCATCACAGAAGTGTATCTTGAGTCAAGTGTTAGGAGCATACCACAGGCTGCAGGCTGGGTCCAGGCATCATGAGTTGCATCTGCTGGGCGAGCACAGCTGCTGCCGTCTTCTGCTGGATCAGATTGTTGCGCCCGTTTATCTCTAACTGGGTTTTTAGGTGAGTAGGTGGATGAAGATACTTGCAGTTTTCTCTTGAGCATCTACCCTGTGTTGAGAGAAAGAAAAAAACACAGAGGCATCAAATCCACCCTTGTATTTCTTCTCATAATATTTTAATGATAATCAATGCCTTGAAATAACTGACAATAAAACCGTCAGACTCATAAGTAAAGCACAATAAATCTAAATCCCGATTTTCTCTGTTTGTACAGAGTCTAATGTTCTATTTCATAAATGTATCAAAAATCATCAGTGAAATATTGTGGGTTCTTTTTATGCTTAATGCTCCAACTCAAGTTTTCAAACATTTTTTTTTATAATGGCACTAATTTGTTTAATCTTGATAATCAAGAATGAAAGACAATAATCACATCTATTTGCTTCTCTACCCAGACGTTACCAAAGTCAAAGTGTAGGTAGGTAAATGTTCTCGTCTGGCCTTGCATCCTAATAGAGACATTTTTTTTTACTGCACTGACAATGAACTAACCTTGAACAGCTTGGAAGGTAGGTGGTGTGCCAGAGAATATTTTCATGTTAACATAACAGGAGGACAAGTTGGGCATCAATCCACAAAACTCTTTTTAACGAAACTGATAATGTATTTTTTAGTTTTTACACAAAACTATTCATCAAACATCATTTATGGCTATTAAGCCATCCAACGTTTTGTGGCTTATCAAAAGTAAAGCAGGTCCAGAGCAAACCTATTTCTGCACTGTGCCCTACTTGGACAACGATATGTCGATAATCCAACGATGTTCCAATAGTGATCCAGAGAATGAGCTGAATGGATGGACACCAGTGCAACGAGCACAACGGTCTGCACACACACGGACATTAAGAAACCCTGTCCCATATCAAAACATGAATAAAAAAAAAAACTCATAACAAGTTGCCTCTGATTATCTATAGTTTATCAATATGTTCCTATTTTGACATGTTTACTATCGAGTCTTGAGTACCTACCTTATAAAGACTGCATTCAGCATTTTAGTGATTTCTGAATGCTCTTGTTTTTCCAGTTTATGATCCTTACTTGTGTTTTTATCAGTTTAGGAGTGTAGGATAACCAAAACAAGTTTTGCCCATTTTTCACTGTTTTAGAGGTATTTCCTAATACAGTAATAATCAGTAGTGATAACATCTACAGGACTTTAGGCCACGTTAGTGAAGGTCATGAGATACTAGTTAAAATGCCAAAGCCTGTGCACATTCTTCTTTGTAACCTTGTTAGGGCAAATTTGTGTACATACATTTCAGCCATTGCTCTGATCTTCTTGTTTTACAAGCTTGAGTTTAACAAATCACATGACAAAACTATCATTAAATCTGATAAACGAAAGAACAAAAATGTGAGAAAAACATCTCTTCAGATAGCCTGCAGCTCAGTTTGAGCTATAAATTCAGGCTGATGATGAAGAAAGTAGATACGACTAAAAAAATAAGCACGAGTACTGAACACAGGAACAGGCAAAGATTCTCATTCTCACAAGAACACTTCAAATAGTAGCTGAAGAAATCACACACACACTTCTTTGAATTAAATAAAACGTTCATGGCACCAATAAAAGGTCTACAGTTCTCTTCATATGTCTCTTAACAGCCCATTAAAGAAGCCAATATAAATTTAAAGGTTTATAATATAATACTGAGGGTGAAGATTTAATGTTAGAAAAAATTATTTCCGTCTCTGGTCATTTCTATAGCACCCTATGCCATTCTCAGTCTGTTTGGGTGGTGAGCAGAGCTGTCATTTCTAACCCAGGCCTGCGCCACAACCCGAAATTCGGGCCGAGCCAAAATAATGTGCTGGATGGGTGGGCCGGGTCGGGCTTTTGATTGCGTCAGTGGACGCGTGCAGTTGAGCCCGGCCAGTTGAAAGAGGTACAGAAAAGTCCAGATGGATGACTGCCAGTGACCCACCTGTGGCTTAACTGGGCCCAGCCGCTGCGTCAGCGGACACGTGCGGCCGATGACCGTTAATAACTATAATATTATAATAATCCGCTGACTATTGGTAATAAACAATATATATTATATCTAGCTTTCTTTGAAATACATTTTTAAATCAAGTCAAACTGACTTGCTTACAAAAGCAGTAAAAGCTTAATAATAAAAACAGCCCATGTGTAAATATGCTATAGGTTAAAAAGATAAAGCTTTGTAAAGTGTGCATGTGTTGTCATCACTGTATGTTTCTATACAATGATGACATTAGTCTCTGCATTTAACCCATCACACCTGAGATGCACCCAGGTGGAGCAGTGGGCAGCTATAAGCACCTGGGGAGCAATTAGGGATTAGGTGTCTTGCTCAAGGGCACCACGACACGTGGGAATGGCGGGGAGTTGAACCTGTGACTTTCTGGTCCCATGTCGGTTGCCCTACCTCTACACCATCTTGGCCCTCATCCTCCTAAAGTCGACAGGTTCAGTTTTGCTTGTGTCAACTGGGAAGGCTGGTGTTAAACTAGAAATAAACCAAGCTATTGAATTTATTTTGTATTAAATGAAGAAAATAGTTGTTTTCTTTCTTTCTATGCTTTAATTTTCTTTAGTCAGTGTGTTTGTAATAACTACAGAGTAGGAGGGTTTACATAAAACCAACATCCAAGGAGGAATTTACGGATCCGGTTCTAGACTGAAAAGAATGATGATCTCCATATTTTCTAAAACTTGTTGCATGGCAGGATTAGATTAAATTGACCAGAGTGATCAAACGCTGTGACCATCTGTTTACCAACAGGTAACTAAACTACTTTGTGCTGATTCTTTTAGCATTTTGACCACCAGGGTGCAGACTCTCAGAGCATAAATCACCCACTTCCTGTGAGAATAATCCAGAGTTGGCAGCTGTATTAGGATTTGACAGCGAACGTGTTGGAGTGGGTTAAGGCAGCGTTGGTCCCATCCTGCACCACCGAGCAGGCAGGAGGATAACCTTGCTTTATTCCAACTGGCTGGAAGATTTCCTCTAAGTCGTCTACATCAGATTATTGATTTGAAAAACATTTGTTGGTGTTTATAGACAAGTGTGGCATTGGTCTGGATTTACTGGAGCATTATGTGTAATGGTACTGGGACTGTAGATGCTCTGTAGTTTATGGCGTGCATGTGCAGGCATCTTAATGCAACAGGGGACATTATTAGGCAGGATTAAAGACTTGAAGCAGACAGGATTATTTTTCTAAGTGTTGATTTAGGTAGTCAAATCTGTAGCTTTAAACACATTTGTTGAAAAGCGGCAACTAATTGGTCCCATTCTACCATAAGAGACTGAGTAAAATGTGTTTTGATTATAAATAATTATCTTACCTGTTTCAGAGTGCTTTTTGAACAACCTAAAGTATGATGTTTACTCAAGCACACATTTAACAATATGTAATTTCAAATGATTCTTTATTGGGAATGTTTTAATTTTTTTTTATTTTATTTGTTTAATCAAGAATATTTCTTACCTTCAGTGAGTCAAAGCAGGCAATAACTCTCCCATTTTCCACCTGGCAGCTTTTGGGCGGATGTGCAAACTTGCATTCTTTATCACTGCGTGAACAGTTTCCTCGCTGAAACTGGCGACAGACTTCCAAAGTCAGCCATTTTGTGTCTCTCACTGAAGACATACTCAACGCCATGTCCGAGAGGTTTTCAGCACACACACAAAATGTTGAGCCTTACCGTTTATAGACGCACACGCCAAAAAAAACTGGAGTTTAATTTAGTGAAGAGAATTAGTTGTGAATGCAGTCCAGTCCTCTTTAAAACAACCTAACTCCATCAGCTGGAGCAGAACGTTGGTTTCTCACTGACAAATCATCCGTCGGAAATAATCAACAGCAGATTTTCTTTTTCCTTTTTGCTGCAATACGTTTGAGCTGCTTATCCTTGAGCTGAATGTGTCAAACAAGTCTAGTAACACAAACTTCTTTTTGTTTTTGCTTTAGTGAGACATTCTCAGGTCATTTTCATGCTCCTCTTTCCTTCCTGTGTTATGGCTCAAACTGAACAATCATTGACGTGCTGAATGTGAAACTGACACCAAAAGGTTTGCAACTGAGGTATCTCGTGTTAGTAGCTGAGTATGTCTTCAGAAAGAGCATGGACCAGTTTGGAGTCGTCTTCTCAAGGCACTTTTATTGATGACCTGGAAAACAAAAAGAGAAAAAAAAATACATACAATGTCATAAATTTTCAGAGCTGATTAAACTTTCTGTAAAAATATTAATGCACTATCTTTTATTACTAGAAACAAAAATAAAAATCACACCCTCCAGGCATGGTCATATGTGACCATAAACAGGATCTGTATTAGTTGATCAATTTATTTGAAAGTTAAAACTCTTATATTTATGTTGTACCTTTTTTAAATGTGTACCTTTCCATGTCAAAGCAGATACTTTTGTTTTTTCTTATAATGTTACTACGGTAGTTCAAATCATTAACTGTGTTTTCTCACTCAAATTATAGTCTAAAAAATGTCAAATTACAAAAATAAAATTGAAATAAAGAGAAATTAAAACAAGATAAAAAGCAAAAACAACTGGACTTCTATTTCTAGCTGAAATAAAACTTACAAGAGATTGTAATTTGCCTTTATGTATAGTGAACAATAAACTGATAAAAAAGTCGATGGTAATAAAAACTACAATGTCTCTGTTTTTTTGTGCTGTCATTTGTTTTCGGCTAAAGCCAACAAATCTTTAAAAAATGTATACGTTTTCTAATTGTGGCTGATTTTTTTCAGTCAGTATGGGGGCTGTGGTAGCTTGGTGATCGCCATGGTCTTGTAATCCCGAGGTTGCAGGTTCAAGCCCAGGTTGCGTCAGGAGGGGCATCCAGCGTAAAAGAATCGCCAAATCTCGTGAAAGTTAACTCGCTGTGGAAACCACTGAAGAAGGGAGCAGCCGAAAGAAACTTACTTACTTTTTCACTAGTAGCACATTTTTGTCCTTAAAAAAAAATCTAATCATTTTCATCAGAGACGTGACAAGGCCCGTCCCAGCTGGCACTAAATGCACACACTGTGCTAAACTTACAGAAACCCATTTATGTCAGCGTAGAGGAACTAATTTTCATAACATGCACAGTTTCTGGACAAAGGACACCCAAACCCATTGTTAACAACTACAAAAACATAGACATGTAATTAGCACTTTATAAGACATATGTTTTGCTTGTGCAAACCTTTAAACAGAAAGTTACTATACAAAAAATCTACGAGGATCCATGAATAAAAAAGGTCTGTTTATCCTTCTCTTCCAATGAAACATCAAAGATCTGCCTGTAGTCGAGTTGAGAATGCGTACACTAATTTATAATTTGAATATCATTTCCCACAAGCCATGTTTCCTCAGCAGATATTACATGACAAGCTCTAAGCCATAGCTGTTTTATTAGTTGGAATATGCAGCTAAGCGTTGTCCTGGGAATCAATAATTCAATAACAATATGTGAATGTTTCCAAGCTTCAATCCATAGTTTTATGGTACATTTGTACCAAGCTTTGGTTATCAGAACAGTTTTAATCCCTTTTACTAATGTGTACTTTTCTCTGTTTGCTAAAGTCTTTGTTTTAAAGGCATTGTTTGTCCGGATCGGTTAAAAAAAATAATTACAAACTGATAACTGGTGAGGTGTGCTGACTCAAAACCCAACAGACCACATGCAGAAAACAAGGCCAGCGACAAAAACGAAAAACATCCACACCCAATGTTTGGATTAAAACAGGAACCGGAGACACAAACCTGCTCAGGAAGTTGCTGAGCAGCAAAAAAAAAAAAAAAAAAAAGAAGCAAACCTAGCTCACCAGCTGGATAAATCTGTTTAAGAGGTGAAAAGTTTCTCCACTGAGAGTAACTACCACATTCAGCAAATATGAAACCCAAACAGCAGAGATGCAAACAAGTCATTTTTCTCTTTTCCACCTTTGGGTAACAGCACATGCAGTACTACAGCACACTGCAGCAAATTGCTTTAGGCGCAAGACAGGAAACGGAGCATGAAAACCTGTCTCTCTCACATCATGCGGCACCAAACTTCTGCTCGTGGTCTGAGAATGTAGGCTAGAGGTCCAGTTCCCCGGCGGCTTGCTTGTTAGGGTCGTAACAACAATCCTACTCCTCTTTCTGTCCTGTGGATCCGAAGTCCAAATATGCCCTCTTCCAAACAGTAAAACCAGACTGCCAAGCTGTGACTAAAACATTTCCAGCCACCCCCTTCCTGTCTGAGCGCTTGCTCCTGGAAAGACCCTCCCAGTCACAAACTGTCCAATGGGAAACCAGCTGCAAATACATAATAGGGAAAACTTCCTGTTGACATTTATGTCAAAGGTGAACATCAGTACATATTCAGAGTTTCCAGAAAACATTAAACTGCTCCACTACAGCCTACAGAACAAAGATTTTAGAAGTAGGTATAATCTAAACAACATTTAGAGTTAGTTATTTTTCATCTAGAGCTGTGCAACCAACTATAGACAGCTTTAAAAGTCAGTCTGCTAAAGGCAAAAGGGGAATTTTTCAGCCTGTGTGTGTTAGCAAAATATCTCAGGAACCTGTGAATGGATTTTAATGAAACTCTCAGACTAATAATTGGGTGTAAATCTAGAACTACTCAACTTTTGAAGTAAACCCAATTCATGACAGCCACCAGCTGCATGGCCAAGGGAAGCACAAAATGAATATAACTCAGTTAATTTTACAGATGTTGAGCTAAAATCTAGCGTGGTAGTAGCTGAGCATCATCACCTTCTTATCAGTTTCTCAGACTGCAGGCTTACTCGCAGTCCCTAGAGTTCCCAAAAGCAGAATGGGAGGAAGATCTTTCAGTTATCAGGCTCCTCTCTTGTGGAACCAACTTCCACTTTTTGTCCGTGAGGCTGACGCATTGTCCAGTTTTAAGACTGGGCTTAAAACTTTCCTTTTTGATAAATCCTATAGTTAGGGCTGGCTTGTTATGCTGCCTTAAGCTTAGGATACTAGAGAAATTGACCTCAATTCCTTAAATGATTTGTTAAAACTGAATAGTTTTCATTTGATACTGTTTCTATCTTAACGTGTGATTCTTGACCTGCCATTGTGTATCTGTTCCTCTCAAACCCAGCCAGTCGAAGCAGATGGCCACTTGTCCTGAGCCTGGCTCTGCTAAAGGTTTCTTCCTCATGAGGGAGGTTTTCCTTTCTACTGTCACCTTCATGCTTGCTCAAGATGAGAGTTCTGTGATGGAGTTAATTCCAAGCAGTTTGCTCCTCAGATAAATAGTGTTAAATTATTATTTTTTTTATGAATGTTTTTGTTAACTTATTATTTTTATATATGAATGTTTCTGTTCAGTGTCCTGAGACGACTTCTGCTGTGACCTGACGCTATATAAATAAACTCAACTGAATTGAATTAAAAAGCTCTTGTGATATTATTTTGAAAAAAACTGTTAATATTGCACTATTTATATATTTTCTATTGAAAAATTATTGTACTTCTGTAAGCTCAATCATCCAGACAGATAACAACAAAAGGTTAAATCGTGTCATCTGGATCAGTTTCTTTAAGTGAGAAACGTTTCGGCCCCATCCAGAGGACTTCGTCAGTCTGCGGTCTGCCAACCAGATCTGTCTCATAGGTAGCCTTCACCCCTGTGTTTCAAGTCAACCTCCTGTTGGAATCTCAAAAGTTGGCTTTTAACACATCCAAAACAATCAATCATCATGTACAACAATCAACTGTTGTAGGTCAGATGACCAACTTACTACTCACAGAAACAGCCTGAGGACGACCAAGGCCAAAATGGTTCAGAAAAAGGTTTGTAAGCTCAATCATCCAGGTAGATAACAACAATAAAAAAAGGTTAACAAGTGAATAGTCCCATAGGTAGTGAAGGCTTCCTATGAGACCTATCTGATTGGCAGGCCGCAGACTGACAAAATCCTCTGGATGGGGGACGAAACATTTTTCCACTTAAAGAAACTCATCCAGATGACGTGATTTAACCTTTTTTGTTATAGTACTTATATTTCACATTTCATCATATAGTGCTTTGCAGTATTTTCAAACATCCTTTATGTTTTTATATTTTCTTGCAAAAAGCTAGACTTTCTTGTAGTCTTTTAAATCGGTCCTAATCTAAATGTTAAAAGACAAACTTTTTGGGAATAATACTTAAGATCACTCTAATTTACAATTACTAGAAAGTTGGCTCCTCTTAAACAATATACCTGTGTATGTATGTATGTATGTATGTATATGT